GATCAAGATGACCAGCATCTTCGAGAAATCCCGCTCCATTGAGCTGGTCTTGGGGGTGCAGCACGGTGACTCGGACACATTTGTATGCTTGGAGTAGGCGGAGGGCGGTCTTACCAGCAGCACGAGGTGGCCGAAGGCAGAGAGCGAGCCAACGAGAGAGCGCGAGGTGGCCGAAGAGTCTGCTCGCTGCAAGGAGGTTTGCGACAGAGACTGCGTTAGCACCCAGGCAGCAACCTCCCTCCTTCCTCAAGAGGCTCCATTCCCTGTGGGACCTTTACCCTGGGCAAAGATGCCAACACATGTTTCTTTGTTTGAAAGCTGCCTCTAAATACGCTGAGCCAAGACAGAACGGGGGCTGGATGCGCCGGCCATTCACTGTCCGGGAATAACTCCCTGCCCCAGCGAAGGGCACAAATTCCCCTTTTGCTTCCCCATCTCACTGGTGTGTCTGAAAATAGTAAGATCCATTAGCTGAAACTTCATTTACGCGCGTGACGTTCTTTATGCAGCATTTCTCCATCACATGTGGTTAGCAGAATCTTCTACATGGATGCAGGTATGTAGCTACTGAGTCCAGGTGTGCGAGCAGCCAGCGCTGGGCTCTAACGAGCTCCTGCCTTCCCATCTCCTCCCGTCAAGTCCTCCTCCTTGGTGGAACACCTCCACTGCTGGGGATGCCCCATTATGGATGTAAGCACTGCAGAGCACAAGCAGCTTTCAGGGAGAGCAGCAGGCAGGAGTTTCATCTCCAGCTCCATGTGACACTGTAACCCACGTGCTCTCTTTGGAAGAGACTCTTTCTAAAATGTACTTTAGTTTTAGAGGGTGGAGAAAGTTCACAGTCACCGTGACTCTGGGTCAAAAGAACTCCAGAGGCACTTAGAGCAGCCGCTTCTGGAGGGATCAGAGTACCCTGGGATTGTTCCTGGAGAGTTTCTGATGAGTCCAAACCGCAGCATACAGACACAGGCACCACACTGGTGGGCCAAGGACAAGAGAGATCCATCACATTCAGGATGTGGCTTAACTCGGCTCACATGAACTTCAGATTTCATTGATGGAGCACAAACATCTAGCAGATACAATCTACCCAACAAAATACATTTATCAGCCAAATAATATCAAGTCTGCTCCTAAAAAAGCACTCGCTCTTGCTCTACTTACATAATATGTCTTCTGCATGCTGCTGGGAGGGACTGAAGAGGTATAGAGGGCCACATGGCCCTTCTCCTCTTTGGTGATGACCACAGGTATGAGCATCAGCGTCACTCTGGCTGGCAGTAGCTAGAGAGCTTCCCAAGGCAGCTTCTTTTCCTGCCACGATTCACCCTCCCCAGTGGGAGGATTGATGGTGCTTTAGGGATGAGCGCTCCTCAGAAAGGTTAGGAAGGACGAGCTGACCAGGAGACACAGCTTAACAGAAACCACGTCGGCAAGATAAAATAACCATCTTTCCCTGGCATAAGAGAAGCCCGCAGCACTACAGCTTTCCTGATTGTCACCAGACACAGAAGGATGAAAACATCTTGGCTCCCGCAGCTGCAGTCATCAAGACCATGACCCAGAGCGCAGTGCAACTCCCACGGAGCCGAGAGCCTCGGAGCCCGCAGTGCCGAGGAAAGGCATCTCAGAGGCAAGAGGGTGGGACCTGGTAATAGGAGCCCCTATGCTCATGGCACGGTGAGAGCTGATGTATCTGGATGAGAAGGACCCGTCTGTTGACATTTTGGCGCGCAGAGGGCTGGAGCTCCACCATTATTCACGTAGCAGCGACTGTTCAAGGGTGGGATTTGAGCCATGAAAGTCAGACTGCTGCATAGTGACCTCTAATTTGCCCACAGAAAGTTAAATTACATTAAATTCAGCCAAAGCAGATGCTAGCTTATTTATTAAAAAGCTTAGCTTTTTCTTTCAACTAGTTCTAGAGACAGGCAGCTCTCAGGAGCAGACCTTCACTCCAACTCAGTCAGACAAGAGCAGTGCCGTAGAGACAGGCAGAGTGACTCTCGTGCAGCACCACCAGCTGCACCAAGACCTGGCTCTCCCTAGGGACGCCCAGCAAAGGCATGTGAGCACAGCATCGTCACCCACTTGCTCTCCACACTTCTTGCCTCACCCAGGGTCTCTCCCTCGTTCCACACAAACCGCATTGGACTTGCAGTGGAAGACGATTTGTTGCTGTCAACATTGCCTTCTATCATCACATCTTTTAAGAAATCTATGAATCGATTCATACATAGAAGTTTTCACTTCAGAGAAACAGATACTGCCCTGCAAACGTGTAACTTGTCATTAATTTTTGATAGGCTTGGGTAAGGAAGCTTGCATACAATAACAGGGTCATGTTGACAACACGGGTTGGAAATTTTTTCTCTCTTTTGGTTGTAGCATTGAGACAAGTAATGCTACTGTACTCATATAATCACCAGGCACATTTATCATTTTTACCTGTCCTTCTACCTGTCCTTCTATCCGCTCCCTTTCAACAGCATGCCTAAAAGCAGTGTCACACGAATAAGAGATGTGTCGCTTTCAGCCACACATACACAGTCTATTTTGTCTTTTTTCTTTTGTTCTCTGGAAACATTGCTCCCACTGATTTCATCTTCAAGCCATGACCCACCAAAATAAAAAAAATTCAGGTACAAACCCAAACTTCATTGCTGGGTGATGGGTCCATGTAAACTGACCAGAGCCAATGCCAACCTAAAGTTAGCTTTACAAAAGTAAGGATTGTTCAATTATATTTGCTGACCATAGACAGCTTCTTTCACTATTCACACAGTTTGAAGACTGAAGATTTGCTGAAAATAAGACGCAGTCCATGTCCTTCGGAAGTAAACGGAACTAATAGCCATCATCATCGTCCATATCACAGCCATAATCTGAAACACACAAAGTCATATAAAAATGCAAATATTCCAGCTAGATGGAAGATACAACAAAAGTATTGCTACTTTCAGGTTGTTTTCCTGCCGTGTAATGATGGTAAATTTTGCCTTAAGCAAGCATTTAAAAAAAATCATATATTTTCTCAGGGCTAAATAAAAAGTTCTTGCATATACTTTCCTCCATGAAATAAAATTATTTGCAAGTATCTATGTGTAAATATCTCTTCTCACTTGTCACTGGACCCTCATTTAGGAATACCTGGCACACAGATATGTGAAATACTTGGTTTAATTTAGAGGTTAAGGTGATCAATCCTGATTGTCACAAGCAATTTGGAACACGGTGGCTGATAAGCAGCAGCACACATTTACAAGTAGGCACGGTTCTCACTAGACATAGCCACCAAGAAGAAAGCTGGCTTGTTTATATTATTCATGGATTTATAAGCTGAAACTGCAAGGGTTCAGAGGTAGCTCAGAGTTCCCATCAACATCAAAGGAGTCCTGACCAACGCATCTGACTCAGATCTCCCGTATCTACTTACTCCTAGAGGAACGACTTCAAATTTTGCCCAGATTTTTCTACCCGGTGTTGTTTTCTTAAACAATGCTGAGCGCAAAGACTGTGCAATGTGTGTGTCAGAAGGCACGTCTGTGTGTTTCTAATGCACCAATTTCTCCTCTGTATGCTTCTGACCACAGTGAAACAGATATTTTCTGCTGTGAAGTCGAACTATTCCATATGAGCATTCAGTAAAGTTAACCTTTATATTCCAAATTCAATACAGTGCAAGGTTTCGTCCAAAGAGTCAAGCAAATGCTTGGAAGCAGAATTAAGTGTAATCTATAACAATTTGTGTAGAATGGGTGAAGTTCATCATCTGCAGTTCCTGCAGTGATTCCAGGCAGATGGGTCTAAAACCCACGAAGAAAGCGGTTAGAAAGGAGTTATTTGTTCTGCTGAGCAGCCCTGCACACCTGCGTTTGAATTCTGGGAATACTCTTTTCCTTTTTCTTCTTTTTTTTTAAACTCTGATTCTTCAGCTGTTGTCCAGAGCAGACAGGGAGTAGCGGAATGTTCTCAGAATGGTTTAAAAATAGTAACATTTACAAAGAAAAAAAGCTCAGTGACCTTTATTCTATTTTTGAGGGGGTGTTATTAATAAACATAGACCCGCCCCTCCCTGACACGGGTGCCTTTTCTTGGGAACATTATTCTAATAATAAATGCCGCAATTTAAAAGCAACATACACTTTTGTGAAATGTATACATATTGTCCACGAAAGCTAAATTAATAGCACTGGAAAGATTTTTGCAGTAAATAACATTTCAGTAGGAAACTTATTCCCATCTTGGTTTTTCACAACCCATAATTAGCAGCTCTCATTTTAAAAATACTTTTGTATATTTTCAAAGCTTAACTTCTAAGGGGAAGTTTTTAATAACAGATAAATGTAGATGTGTCCAGCTAGGAAAAACCACAGTGGAGAGGATACTGCCTTTTCCTGCCAGCAAAGAAACCTAATTAAATGAGCAGCTTTGTTGGGTAACCCCCAAAAATTAGCACACATCTGGGTACCATACAGCACACCGTACGCTACCAAGGCAATTTCTGTACTTGGTGAAGAACTCTTTCCTCCTAACGCTTTCCCCAGAAATAGAGTGCGATGATTTGTTGTGTTTTGAGCTGGACAGCCATGTCCCCAGGGCTCACGGACAATCTGGACGTGGCAGCAGCCCCAGCTGAGGAGGCAGGCAGGAGCAGGGTGGCTTGGCTCGGGAGGCAACGAGCCCTGAGCACTGCTGATGGAGGGGTCACTGACCCCCTAATTCCTCAGATCCACATTAATAAAGCTAATTCTGGAAAAGGCGTAACATCAGTTTGTTGTTGAGGAGCCCTCTTAGCCTAAAGCTTGAGATGCAAAGTTTTCTCAGGAGGACTCTCTAAGAAGGTCAGCTTTTGGACAAGCATGACTCCAGGCTTTCCCACAGGAATGGACAACACCAGAATGGCAGCAGGAACTCTGCATGGGACGAGCTGCTGGAGGACAGGGACAAGCAGGCGAATCCTGTCTCTCCTCAGCCCTGCAACAACGAGCCCCACAGCACCAGTGGACGCTAATTTAGACAGCAGCCCAGCTTACCGTTTCCTCCCATTAACTGCAAGGCGCTCATGCAGTGATCATCATCTTCTTCCATTTCTTCCTCTTCCACCTCTTCGTCAGGGTTGTAAGCTACCGGGCCACTCTCCACTAGCACAGCTGCTGGTTTTGCTGAGTCGGGGGCTTCTGCCTGTGCGTTTGGAAACACCATCTGCAAAAAAGAAGAGGGGACAATAAAGCAGCCCCTCCTTTTGTTCAATATTTGTACAAAACTTTAGCAGCTTCCAAACGATAGAGACAGGATAGCTGCAAGCCCCTGTCCAGAGCTAGAGCCTTAGCTGTTCTAGGGGACACGCAAGTTGCTCGAAGAAATGTTGCCCGAATGAAAGTCAGGCACAGACATCCAGGTTTCACATAATTCATAGCCAGGTAGCTGAAATGTCCAGAGGTGGTAACATCAGAACAAAGATCCTCTTGGAAGCACAAGGTAAGGAGAAATTTGGGAGTGAAGGCTCCTCAGTAGAGCTCTGCGGGAAAACTTACCACCTTTTCCTCATTGTGCTCCACTCACATCAGGCCTGTTACACAGCAACAATGTTATTGACACTTTAATGATAGCAAAAACGTACCCTTCAAATCAGGAAAAACCCAACATGTATTAGTTTTGACAGCTGTGGCTGGATTTATTTGGAGGCACAATGAGCTGTGGAACAAACAGCACTCTTTTAGACAGCACTCGATGTGATGGCAGAGCACTAGGTTGATAATTCACCCCAGCACCTGCAACATTACCTGCGGAATTCATCAGAATAATGATCCCCAAACACTAACTTGGGAATAGATGACTGACAGAACCCATTCCATACGTGCCCCTTCCCAGCTGCTCGAAGGTTAGGCAGGACACAGCAGGGAGGGAGAGAAAGGGCAATACCACAAGCAGAGAGAGGTGACTTTGGAGAAGGTAATACTGCCTCCGGTTCACTAACAACAGATCTGGGAATGGGGCAGGAACCAGCAATGTGGTCTGCCCCAGCACAGCCCAGGCTCTGGTCTCTCTGGAGCTCTCACTTTCATGGTGTGCTCAGCCTAGGACTCCACCTCCCCCTCTCATCCAGAGAAGAAACATCACAGGAGCTTCATCTCCACCAGCTTTGTAACAGGGCACTTTTCATCTCCGTTCTGTACTTGGAATATTTGGGGTTTGTAGACTAAGAGTCTGTGGCCCAAAAGGGACATCCCATCAGTGGCAAGTTGAGAACATCAAAGATTAACGCTACTTTGTCATGTAGCAATTTTGGGAAGGGAACACTTTACAGTACCTGTTACCAGTCAGCAGTTATCAGCACTGAGAGTCATCTCCCCTACTAGGAAAGATGGAAAATACTGGGACCACTTCCTTGGCAAGGACACTCCTCTGGTCCCTACCACAAGAAAAGTCCTACAGAGCTTTAGGTTTTAAATTACAGTACACAACTACGTACTGCTGCATCTTCTCCAATTCCGTCTGCAGTAAGTTCTGATTGGGCATTGTAATTTATTTTTATTTATTTATTTATAAATGCTTTTACTTGGGATGCAGTAACTCCCAGAATCCCTGTAACTCCAGGCACTTTAGAGATACACCATAAGAGAAAATCCCTGTACCAGAAAGTTGATAGTCTAATTATTCAAACATCAAAGCTGTTCCTGAACTTGTCACATACCATGCCAGCCAGCCTGAAGAATTTGCCTAAGTTTTTCAAAGTCACCTAAGGGTTTGCTCCAATAGCTCATTAATAGGGCAAAAGAAATCCATTAATTTTAATAGAAAATCAAATATTTAGATATTCAGATCACTCAAAGACAGGTTTTCATGATTTTTTAATGCTCAAATTAATCATATTATTTACAGAAATTCCAGTTTATTTTATATTTCCTACCACTGCTTTTGCCTCTAGAGTGATCAAATTGAGTCCATCTAGGTTTTCAATATAAGCAGAAATAGACAGAACAGTTTGAGTTGAATCAGCATCATAATATATATCAGTTTATATGTTTAAAATTATCCATCTGCTCTGAAAAAGTGGGTGAATATAAAGGAGCTACAATTGAGTCATTATTTTTAAAAATTGCACCATGCTAATTAAAATGTGACCTTCTTCTAATTATCATGTCCACTTCCAGACTGCTATACTTCTAAAAATGTGCAGAGTTTTCTAATGAGCATAGCATAAGAAGTGAAAATGTATTTCCCCAGGCAGGATATCAAACTGTTTCTGAAAATCAATGGGTTTTAGTCATTTTAAAACTAAGGCACTTAAACAGAGCCTTTAAATAGAACTTCCTGAATTCACTTCCAGACATCCTGGACTGGAGTTTGGCATGTATCCTTATGTACGGATGTTTAACGCGCTCATCAAAGCATGTCAAACTACCCAAGCTAACGGGTTCACTTTCACAAGGGTGTCAGTGTCACTCATTTGTGGGAAAAACAAGAAGGAGAAATACCTGTGGCATATTAGCAACAGAATTTTTAGATGCGCAGTAGACAGTTATTATATGCAAGACGCATACGCCTAGTCTGTACGGTGTGAAAATACTAGTGAAAGAAAGCAGTTATCACCATGACTCTGATAATAATCACGATCCCTTCGGCAGAAAACGCAGGTGCACAAAGCCACCCAAGGAGGGTTTCTGGCGATGGCCAGTTACTAGCACTAATTTTTCTATGGCACTATAATATTTTCAAACTAAAAGCAAGCCCCAGAGTAAGCCATGCTGTATAGGGTAAGCTGTCACTCTGTGTTTCCTCACCGGTCTCCTGCAGAAGCCCAGCCCTCCCCTTGGGTCAGCACTCGATGCACAGAAGCGGCGCTTGGCATCGTCCTCCTCCACGGGCACGGTCCCCGTGCTGAGAAACAGGCACGAGCTCTGCCCTCTCCCACTCCTCCTACCCACTTGTTCAATATGTACATTTTTAGCTGCATGCAGGGAGTTCTCTCCTTTTTGCTGTATTATGAGGCTGTGCTAACGTTACTCATGGATAAGTAAGGGCAAACCTTGGTTAGAAAACAGGCGACCCCAGCTTTGCAGAGTTTGCAGTAACCAGCTCCTGGGCGGATCAGAGAGACAAGACTCTCATTTCTTTTGCCTGTATCTACCACATAACCAGAGCCGGGCTGAGAAACGTTTGTGGGAATTCCCAAACTCGAGCTGTTGCGCTAGGAGAAGTGCTGGGCTTTACATACCTCTTCAGTGGCAGCCTTTTTAGCGAGCTGTGTTGAAATCAAGGGTCTTAATCTGCAAAGAAGGAAAGAAGAAACGGTGAACATGAGAAAAGTTACACCACACACAAGAGTTCTGACACAGAGTATTCACTCTCCAAACTGTGAAAGCACTTTGCTTGTGTTATGTTGTGCAATTACTTTTTTAAAGATATAAGATAAAGAGCGGAGAGCCACAGACTCCACAATAATTAAGACACACGTTCCCTTGCAAGCGTCTGCCCCAGCTCAGGACAATAAGATGCCTGTCAACAAGCAGATCAACAAAACCTCATCTCAATCTGCAGCCCCAGCTCAGCCCAAAGGTGTTTGAAATAGGTGGTTTTGTCACATATTACAAAAGTCAAAAGACTCCACTGATTTTTTGGAAGAATGCAGACATGGCAAAAATGAGCCACACTGGGAAATACCCAGCACCGCTCTGCAACTAATTCCCTGTATCTGATGAAATACTGCGGACACCAGTAAGACTATACATGTAAGATATCATAATCATCCCAGGCAAAATTCTAACCTCCAGCTACAGAAACCATCATCAAAAACCAGGGGACCCTGCATACCTTGAATGAAAAATGACAGAAATTGAACATAAACATTTGTAAAAATTCTGCATCAGATACGAAGAAGACCTGCATATTTGGGGAGGAACGATGGATCAGTATTACTCTACAGCTAAGTGTTAAATATTGTTCTTTCTGAAAAGCATTTCATAGCCTGTTGTCTCCTTACTGCCATGAAGGCTGTTCTCAATCCATCATTTAGTGCTGCTTTCTGGTCTCTCCTCCTTATCTAGATGTATCTAGTCACAAAGAAGATGACTGGCTTGCTACTGAAACACTGCTCAGACAGCTCCTCAAGCACGTCTTTTAACTAAGTCTAGGCAAACAACTTAATGAATACCAAATTATGTCTCCAGAGATACAGTCTTTTATGATAAGCAGTATCTTTCTTCTCATTTTTCTATTAGTCATTCCTCTCAGTTAACACACATATACTGGTTGTTTCCCTACTTATTTATTTTAAATAATCAGCAGGAGAAAACAAAACCCCAGAGAATGAGCAGGGGAGACTCAGATTATTATCTCGGATGGAGAAGACAATATTAAAATACAAGATATTGGCTAAGCTCCAAAAAAGTTCAGAAACTGGTCATCTCTGAAATGCTTTGGAAGACCCAAATGGCATTTCAGCAACCAAAGTAGTCCAAGGTGCCTCCTTACAGTAGATCGAAACAAAAAGAAGCCATGGGAATGCTTCAGGAGCTGAACCACTGAATGATCGAGAATACATTATTCTGCTACAGACACTTGTCATATTTCATAATTATAAAAAAATTCAAGAAAGAGGTACTCTTGACCTACGTAAACTATCTATGCCTTACAAATCCTGTTGGACTTCTGGGCTTAGAGAGAATGTGTCTGAAGGCATGGACACACTCCTCTCTGTGTACCTGGCCTTCTCTTTCCTTTATCTAAGCTAAATTGTAGAGTTTTCACAGAATCATAGAATGGTTTGGGTTGGAGGGGACCTTTAAAGGCCATCTAGCCCAACCCCCCTGCAGTGAGCAGGGTCATCTTCAACCAGATCACGTTGCTCAGAGCCCCGTCCAACCAGACCTTAGACCTTTTTCCAGGCATGGGGCATCAACCACCTCTCTGGGCAACCTGTGCCAGTGTGTCACCACCCTCATCATAAACAATTTCTTCCTTCTTTCCTAAAATTTGAGACTACCTATCTACTGTCAATCACTGCTTTCCAAAAGTCACCCCATTCAGATGCTTACAAACATACAGATGCAGCAAAGTCAAAAGGTTATGTAGCTGTGGGATGCTAATTACGAAACAGGTTGTATTTCATTGACGTGACTGGAAAAAAACAACACGGGCAAGAAATGAAGGACCTTTATTTTAAACCAGTAGTAGTGATTATTGCAATTAACATTGTACCAAAGATAGCACCTATTTCCTCCTGCTACCACAAGACATCAGACCTCCCTGGAGCACCCTGAAATCTTTCCTCCCCCCAGTTAAAATCAAGCTGTTGAGTAAGACTCACAAGGCAATCAGAAACTGCTGACATGTCTTCTAGAGCAAATTATACATGTGCTCACACAGTGAAGAAAACAATCACAGCTATAGGAAGCAAAGAGTAAACATTCCAGTTTCATTTTAATTAAAATGGTTCCATAATGAAAATAAAAAGATTCACGTCTATGAAAAGCCTATTTGCAAATTTTCATGCTAAATCCGAGAGCCCTTCTATATCATTTTTCAGCAGCGAGTGATTGTCTCATCCAAACTGAAATTAAAGCTGTATTTCTGTTCCATGATAATCGCTCGCAAAGCATACATCTTCATTACCAGAAATACAATGCTGCCATCCCATTTGGGCAACACAGTTTCTCTCTCAGCATAATCATAGAATCATAGAATCACAGAATCATAGATTCACAGATCTAATCATAAGATCATAAGATCGAATGCATCCAAAAGCAGCAGGGGGGATTCCGCTCTTGCTCTGGCTGTTGGGCACCTGCTGCAGTGCGGGTCGGAAGCGTGGGCTAAGCAGCCCAGCTCACTGCGTCTTGGTACTACGTGCTACCTACAGACATTAGCCACGAACAAGGAAAAAGGCAAAACCATTGCAAAGAGAGATCAAAACTAATTTCCCCTATGAAATAATGTCTTTGACTAAAAATATATAAAAGTTATAAATGTATAAAAACAGCATTTCATTTCTCTCCCTTAGCTCTCCTTCTGCCCATGGAGAACCCTACTATTACTGTACAAAACCATTTAGGAAGGTTTTATAGTGGGGTTTTGTTTTGTTTCTTAAATGCCCCAATGCCCTGACCTCCTTAAACCAGAGCAGCTGCTGCCACACCAGCCATATGGTGCAATAAATCACTGGCTGCCATGGCTACAGATATGGGCTCCTTCTGCTGTCTGGCTGCGCCACAGAGGGTGGAAAAAAGTGTCTTCATGGAAGAGCATGACTGCTTTCGAGGCTGGGATAGGTCTGAGTATTATCGATCAAAAAAGCAGCTTGAAAAAACAAGTAACTGAAGTATCTTACCCAATTTTTAACGTGCATTAATCAACCTCATCTGTAAAATGTTATCAAGAAGCACACGTGCACATACACACCATATGTGAAAAATACTGTCCATCAAAGTCCAGTTTGAATTCAGGGTTGCCAAGTTCCACAAACAACAATAACACCCTGCATTAAGATCCTGTCACACACCTGCCAAAGCACCAACAGCCTCTGTTGAAAATGTAATGTTGCACCTGGCTTTCCCAAGCATTTCAGTAGCTGTTCATTATTTATGACGATTTCTAGTTTGGGTGACTTTCGTTATGAACTTTGCAAATTCACACAGTACCTTGTGGGAGAGAGTAACGAAACAAGCAACTTTCTGAACATCAATGGGATCCGTAAAAGGGGAGAAAAAAAAACAAGATTTCACACAGCCCCAAGTGTTATATTCACATTTCAAACTACTTCAAAAATTACGCAGATCTACAAGTGCTCATGTCAGCCAACACACATAGCACTGGAAGCAGATAATCTTGACATGTTCGTGACAAAAACTAATGGCACGGTACACGGCATCAGCGGCTGCTCCCTGCCGAATCTGCACCGCTCTCAGCTGAGATGTGCACAATAACGTCTAGGTTTGTCCTCCAGCTTAACAATTTAAAAGAAGACTCAATATAATAGCTCTTGACAGGACTGAGATCACACAGACTCAACTTTCAAAGTGAGCAAATTCTCTGAAAAACAAGCTGGCTGTGACAAACAACTGTTTTTATTTTGCTTATTATTTAATAACAAAAGATTACACAGCGCAGCACATAAAACAGAAAAAGCACTGCGAGGCAATAAAACCACCTCGCTCGCATCAGGCTGTTTGCCCACCGAAAAGGTTTACGATACCATAACAATCTCCTCAGTGCAATCCCGCAAGTAATTTGGAAACTCACCCAAACCTCTGTTTCTTACTGAATTTTAATTCAATCCATCCAAGTAGGGAACATCTCATTGCTGCTTACTGCCCATACTAATTTTATACGCGGATGATCCCAGAATATGCGATGGAAAGCAGAGACACAACAGAGCCCACAGCCACAAGCCTGCAGTATAATTATGCAGGTCATCTAAGACAAACGCCCATAAACCTACATATCCACACCACAGGCCTTTCCTACGTGTGCCACTTCAGTGACAGAAAAAGCTGTTGAGCAACAATTTGGGGAGCGACCGGTCAGGTTCTCGACGCTGGTTGAGATCCTCCTCCCACCTGAGGCCAGATGCTTGTGCCTCAGGAGGTCAGTTTACCAGACATCTGCGTGCGAAGGAAATTAATATAAATGTTTACCCTAGCTAAGCGTGTCCTTTAATTAGGTCCTGTCAATGTTATCCTTACCGGAAAGCTGGGATTTACCTCTCTGCAAGGATTTAATGCTCTTGTTGGAAACACAGCCGCATCAGAAAATACCGACCCACCATTCTGCCATTCGGTCAGTAGAAGGGGTGACCCTCCCGGACTCAGACCACTGCTCTTATGCAGAGGGCAAAACACAGACTGCAATTCCAGCCGTGACCCCGGAGCACTTCGGGGTTTGCTCATCCAGCTGTGGATCCCACCGTCTCCTACAACTGCTTCTGGCCGAGAGCTGGGTGCTCGCAAGAGTGAGACTAGAGTTTAGATTAGATATAAGGAAAAAGGAAGAGTTTAGACTAGATATAAGGAAGAAATTTTTTACGGTAAGGGTGGTGAAACACTGGCACAGGTTGCCAGAGAGGTAGTGGAGGCCCCATCCCTGGAAACATTCAAGGCCAGGTTGGACAGCACTCTGAGCAAACTGGTCTAGTTGAAGATGTCCCTGCTCACTGCAGGGGGGCTGGGTTAGATGACCTCTAAAGGTCCCTTCCAACCCAAAGCATTCTATTATTCTATGATTTTAAGAGCTGTTCCCTTCCTGCAGAGGAAACCAAGGCGTGTGTCCAAGG